TGCTCCATTCGTCTGCAAGAATGATGGATAATCTCAGTGTTCAAAATATCGTATCTACCATTGCTATCCTCTACTACAAGACCTCTTTTATGAAACCAAAATAATGTATTTAACATCGTCAATATTAACCCTAATGGTATATCAAAGAACATATATTAACAAAAGAAAATATTTACTTAATAACAGAAGTAATATTTACCAAACATTCTCCTGTACTCGACTGAAAACTTCTTTCGTCAGAAAAACAGTCCCATAAAGTAGGGTTTGTCTGACGGAACTGCTTGTCGCTAAGTAAATCAGAACAATTTCTCGTCTTTGCGGGTCCCAAAGGTTCGTTGCCGTGATCACAAGATTCAGGATTCAATTTCAATATTAACCTCCCTTTTATGCCCAGGTATCCCACACAGTCTCTTGAAATTTTCCGACAAAAAGTTTGATCGAATTTTTTTTTTTCGTAACAGATGCATGCGAGATTAAAATTTTCTGATATTGTGTTTGGTGTTCACGAATAACAGAACTACCGACAATGTTTATGTCGAAGATGAACACACGTTCACAAGGCGTTACAACTAAGGAAACCAGCATCAACATATTCACCGCTGTGAGAACCTAAAATTTCATTGTCGATTTTCTAAACAACAGGAAGTCTTACAGATATGTTATCCAAATCCGTACACTGGTTTTGTTGATGAGAAATTAGTACGTATGCACACGATCTCTCAGAAGTAAGTTCATTTTATGTACTTAATGCAATGTCGATGTCGCTTCAAAGTTAAGGACTCCGTTCTCCTCGACAGCTTTGTAATTCGTACTCAGACGCAAAGCTTGTGTACCGGAAAATGTATTCATTAGAGTAAGTCCTGCTCTCCGGTTGAATACAGCGTACCTATGTGTGGAAATTTGTTCTGACACCTTGAGACGAACAGCAAAGTTCCCAGGGGGCTTTGCCTCTCCACTGCTTCGACTAATGCTCTTGAGATCACACAAACCGCTCATTGCTTGCGGCTTCACACACAATTAACACTAATCACTCTTCTGCGTACACAGAAAATCTTCCAGCATGATTTTATAGGCCTATTCCAAAATGTGTACGTAAACGTTTAAAATAATTATACAAGTCTGTCGTGGATCAAGGCATTGGTAAACCAAGAACAATAGAAGGAAATAGCGTTTTATTTTTGTTTATTTTTAAAAGTCCAGAAATCGTAACTTAGGGCAGTGTCTAGCTAAAGCGGTAACATTTATATTTCGAATCTCGGTCCTTCCAATGGGTACCGTGATTAAGATGCCTGCGTTTTCCTCGTTTTAATTTTTTTTTATATTTTATTCCTCTCACTAAGATGTATCTATGTCCTTCTATTATTTCCTCTGCTATAGGTACAATATTTTATCAGAATTTTGTTATAACACTCTTCATAGGTAAGTAAAAATATTACGATTAATACTGTTTTTACAAGCGGCAGGTTATTGTAAAAAAGTCTGTAGACTCATAGACTTGTATTTTAAACATCCATCCACGTATGGATTGCAAGTCATCATAATTAGGATTTTACTAATTTTCTTCATTATCAAATAAATAAACTAATGCCGAAAAAGTTACTTAAAATAAACTATGACCGCCCCTTTTGAACATTTGCAATTCAAACAGCGTCGTTAAATAACCTAATATGACTGAATACGTTTTGGAACATACAGTATCATAGTGAATCACAAAATACAGAGACTCGTTTGGAACTTTAGTTACTGAGCCACATTTACAACAGCTGTTACAGTACAAGAGACGATTTAGTTACCAGCTGAGATGTATTGCTCGTCTAGGACGGGAAATCGTTCAAGCGCTGCTAACGAATTACCAGGCATTAAGAGGAAAATTAAACAGTACAAATTCTGGGCTCGTAGCAGAAAACAGAGCAACAACTAGTTGATAAAGCAGCGACAGTATGTCAGTAACAACAGCAAAACAATTGGAACAACAACAACACACTTTAAACTTTTATATCCATTTACGTGTTGTACCTCAGTGAACAGGGTACGAAGTTCAAACTTTAGTACCTGAGGAGTACCATCAGCTATGCAAACCCTCTCTCACTCAGAACTATGGTGGTGATCTCTTTATACTTGAGTAGCCTGAAATTATTATCGTGTTCTGCGTTCCCTCAGAAGTAAATCCTACAATTTAATAGGAATGTTCAGATGGTTTTTTCTTCAGCTTTCGTCTTGTGGTTATATTTGGTGATTGATACAGAATGGGATTGTAAGGGAGCAGACGTGGGACAGATAAGAACTGCGTAAAAAATTTTACTACCGTAAAGAAAGAATACACTTGGGATAACTTGCCGTAGATGAAAGGATAACAATAAACTGTAATAAATAAATATAATAGGGTACTGGTATCGACTGAATTCATCTGGGTCAGAATAGAATCTAGTGGGGAGGGGGCTCTTTTTAAAACAATAACGTACCGTCCGGACCCATTAAAGGCAGGGAATTTGACTAACAGGACAACTTTAAGATTCTCAAGGACCATGATGCATGGAGTTTTAGTTAATTACTAGTTGCGAAATTTTAAAACCTGTGTATTACATTTCAAACCTAGATAAATTTGGAGAACATTTTTATCCAAATATTAAGTTCCCGATAAGTCACTTTAGACGATAAATACGTGATGTTCGAGATAAATAGTGAAACTTTTAGTTAAATAAATTTAATAAACGTACATGTTGATTTATGTGGCATATGTACGCACATTATTCTTAACTGGATTAGAAACTTCTAAAAGCATAAATTCTTTTTTGTGCTGTAAATGTATCGTAAAATACTCGGAACGTGCAAGAAAATATTTTGGTGCAGGTGGTATGATACTTTGTCTTTATGTTTTTTGAACTCTGGCTCAATTTTAAGGGCCTCTTCTTGTAAAAAATAAACTGAAGTTCTGTATAATTCTCCCATACAATTTTACTTTGCACTCTTTATGTACCTGCTGTTCGTACACAGCAAAAGACACTTATCTGAGCTGAATCTATCTTACGGATAACCAAAGGAACAGATGCTCTTTCATAAAGAGCGATCCTAAAGACAGACTATCCTTCTCTCACAAAATAAGAATTATCTCTCCTTTTCTTTTACTGTGAGGCCGATGTCCACCTATTCTTTTCCATTACACCATACGAGGGGGTGACAGTGGGTAGCGACAGGCTGCCAGGTGCGTCCAGAGGGCGAAGTGTTCCCATTGAACGGAAGGCTCGGTGCTCGCTTTGTGTCGCCTTAATTGAATTCTGCACATTCTCTGCCGTCTCTTCCTCTATCTACTTTACTTTCTTCCCGTCCGCCCAAGTTCAATTCGCGGACGGTACGTGCGCTGGGACACGACATAATAAGGCTCCTTCATCTTCCTCCCTTCCCCCACTACCATCACAGTCTTGTCACCTAACCCCCACCCCCAGAAATGTCTCACCTCATTCCACCTTCGCTTGATGTCCCCGTCTCTTTCCTCTTTCGGTCTCCTTCTTCTTATTCTTATTCTTCAAGCTTGTGCAATTCCTTACTTCCGCTCGTATTCCATATGTAATGAAGGAAGGACTTGACGCTTCCTTCTTCAACATCTTCCAGTGTCTGATTTCTATCTTCTTTGACTTCATTACCACGTTTATTGCGTCTGTAATAACCAGCTTAGTTTCAACCTTCTCGCTGTAATCTTGGCAAGATAAAACATCCCAAGGGATAGAACTGGCTTCGTCTCTAAATGTACCGTATATCCTGTTCTACGGATATTCAACCATTGTAAATGCGGACATTACTTCTAGCTGGTGTAAAACTTGCCGAAGAAAGGACTAGCAAATGTCCCAAGTTCACTTTCATCGTCACTAGAAATTTAGGTATATTAATTAAGGTACACACAACCTCTAGTGACGAAGTCATATAGCACAGCGTTACTGACAAGCACTATCAGAACCAGTTCAAATACGTGCTGTATTACGAAACTAAGATTGATGTTTTCAGGTAAAAGTGTATAAGGTTTGTTGTTCAGGACTGCATAACAAATATTTTAAGGGACTGAACATCGAAAATTCTGTGTGACATAAGAAACAGCTTCCACCACTCAAGGCTGGAAACTGAAAAAGTTTCAGAACCTTCAAAATCAATATACAGAGATCCATAGGGAGGCGAACTATTGACGTAAATTAAACAAAACAATAAATTTGCTAATAATTCAAGTACACCCCATCTATTCTCCATTATATAAGTTGTGACATGGAATTTGCTTACACAAATTAGAAAAAAATTCAATTTATTATCATTATATAAGTTGTGACATTGAATATGCTTATACAAATTAGAAAAAAATTCAATTTATTACAATGCTTATACATCCGATACGTACAAAACAAGTAACCTGTTGTGAAGTTCTTGTTATGAGAAACTGCCTACATACATCACCCTTCGAAGTTCAAATATTTTCATTAACAATTCATGCTTGTAACTTAGATCACATTTCAGAATCTCATGGCGGCGAGTATGAATACGAGTGTTTCGCTTGTAATTTATGTGCCTTCCATCAAGGCAAGAACCAATGTTCACTTCCACACAGAACAAATGACAAATTCGTATACGTTGTGAATGTGGCAGCGATGCATCAGACTCATCTCCGAGTTCTGTTTTCCCCGACTAATCATCGCGTCAGCACAGATACATACTCATCCATCACCCCCCCACGAGGTGTGTGACGGTCCACACCAAGTCAGCACATCATCATACCCACGGTCTTAAATTAGGGGCTTCATTACTGACCCGGAAGTTAGCTTGTATCGGCGCAAAGGTAATTCTGAAATTACGACTCCACACATTTTAACGAGGCACAGCTTCTGAAATTTGTGTTGGGATTTTTGCCTTCTTCGATGTTTGCGATTACCGCAAAAATACTACGTAAGAGGGGTTGTATATAAAGCAAGGCTGAGGGAGAGAGAGAGAGCGAGATTAATTCGGTGAATTGAAATTCCTACCTTGGGAATAGATGCGACACGTGGGATGCTGTGATTCTTGGACGTCGGAAACTTCTCGTCGTATCTAAATCTGGAAAGAGAAGATATTATTAATTTCACTAAATGCATGTGTGTATTATTAAAAGGTAATTTTTACTGTCATTGTGGTGGCAGTACTCGAAGAATACAAAACTGTTAATACCAAAGCCCGACACTCGATACGAATGTAAGTAAGATCTATCTACCTTCCGGTCCAAAAAAACCTATTTGTGTAGGACCCGCCTTAATGGTGTGGTCCTATTTCCATGTAGGTCTTCGAAGTGGACGTTATGCAAGATATTTCTCAGTAAAATTTCACGTAAATTAGTTTTTATAGGACATGAAGCACAATGACAAGTATCTGAAAACAAATGTCCACTGAGGTATATCTTGACTTTCCGCAGTCCATCCGTGTGTCTTAATTACTGTACATTCAAACAGACCACTCCCTCTGGTTAACGAAACGGCGGACTATAGTACCAAGCCTCTGTCTGTCATGTGTGTGGGCTTGTGAAAATGGGACGACTTTCCACAGAAACTTCGTAATAATAATTTAGCTCCAAGTGTTACAGCACAGCGTTGCTTCTTGAAGCATCAAACTGTTTTAACACATCAGTGGACTAAGAATCGTTGGAACACAAAATGTGAGCTACTGAGGTAAGTTGGACAGGACACATTCGTGTCTTCGTTTCTAGTTCTGCAAGGCTGGTTAGGATTTAGCCAGATTTTCACCTTAAAGCATATGTGACTGAGTTAACAAAAATCCTACAGCATTTAGCTAAAGGTGTTACGTATTAAACACCTGGGATAGTTTTATGTAGCGTAAATGTTTTCTTTGTTTTGTTGAACAATTTAAAGTTCAAAACGATTCATGTGTATTATATAATACTTTTAAACTAGATTTTTCACTATATTATTTGAAGTTTCACAATTTGTTACACTCTCAGAACACATTATCGAAGACTTGCCTCGTCCATTTAATACAAAGTACACGGCACTGAAATTGGTTCAAAAGACTTAAAGTTAAGACTTACGGGATATTTCATCACTTAAACTAAGCACTGTACGGTAATGCATAGAAAAGTAAAACCGAAACTTGGCTTTCATCACAATTTACTCATAAACCGTAACGAATTCTAAACAAAAATTTACTCTCGCCATATCAATCTGATATTGAAATTGCAGGATTTCGTTTATTTGCCTTTCTGCCTTGAAGATTAAACTCAGGACATAGTGTGCATCATAACAAGTGCAACAGTACGACTGGAAGTAACAAAAGTGCTCTTACAGTAATTGCTACTCCCACACCTCAGCTCCAATCCCCAAAGTTCTTTCATTTCCCCTTTCATCCCCCACTTCCTCCTATTTCCTTACACCCCTGCCACCACCATCCCCCTCACTATTATAAAAACCTCTCGTCTTGCTTGAAACGAAAAGTGGAGACAATAAATGTAAGAAAACAGAAGTATGCACTCGTCACAAAAAAGTCTTGCCTTTATTTTCAACGCCTCTAGACACAGCGATTGCATGTCTAACGGAAGAGATGTTTTCTCGTAAACCCCTCGAGGCAAGCAACTTACTGTGTCATATCTACAAGAAGTGTTTCTTTCAAGATGAATTATAGCAATATATTTAAAATCCCAGTGCTATTAGATAGAGTACTTGTGTCTTTATCTGCCTTAAACAATTGCTAGAAGTTTATTTCACTTATAAACTGTACCAACAGTGCTAAAATTTATTTATACGAATGAAAATCACTAGTCTATTTATAGCGCAGTGTTAAAATTTATTTATAAGAATGAAAATCACTAGTCTATTTATAGCCTGGCTGGAGACAATAAAAATTAAAATGTTTTATAGTTATTATTATTATTATTATACTGCTATTGACTTTAATTTCCTCTATGTCTTTCTGTTTACTCAAATCCCAGAGAAGTTTCTTAGCGTGCCAAAGATGAATTACAAGTAATCAAGCAGCAATATTTAAACTCCAGTTAATATTTTAACGTTACATCCTTAACTACAATATTTTGTACATAAATTCTGATGACGCAGAGAGAAATGATCGTCCTGAGTGAACAACAAACTTCTGCAAATGAAAGACATGGTCGAGTGGTTAGCATTATTTCGTATTCCATGAGTCCCGAATTCTACTCAGCCAGGGTACAGGCTCTCCTTACCAGAACTGTAGCTTAAAATAAACTACCATTGTTTCATTTCGAAATATGAAGGAGTATTAAACTTTAAAATAACAGAATCCGGTTGAAAAACAGTTTTAAACTGAACTAGTGAAGATAAACACAGGATTTAAATAGTGAGCTGCGAAGACGTGCGACGAAAATTGTTTTTTCTGGTTAGCTTAGCAACATAAGCACCGAAGATTTCTGTCTTCTGGGTTGTTGCGCTGTGTCGTCTGCTCGATGTTAACCAACGTTTCAGAGGTCATACTGCCTCCGTCATCAGGGCGATGAGTATGAAGATTTCTGTCTTCTGGGTTGTTGCACTGTGTAGTCTGGTCGATGTTAACCAACGTTTCAGAGGTCATACTGCCTCCGTCATCAGGGCGATGAGTATGAAGATTTCTGTCTTCTGGGTTGTTGCACTGTGTAGTCTGGTCGATGTTTACCAACGTTTCAGAGGTCATACTGCCTCCATCATCAGGGCGATTGCTAACCAACGTTTCAGAGGTCATACTGCCTCCGTCATCAGGGTGATGAGTATGAAGATTTCTGTCTTCTGGGTTGTTGCGCTGTGTAGTCTGGTAGATGTTAACCATTCTCTTGTGCTGTTCTTCTTCCATGAAACTTTTATAAAAACACAGCAATACCGCAATGTATGCTGCGAAATAACCGACTAAGAACAGTTACTGGCCTTAGTAAAAACATTTTAATGGAGTACAGTCACGCTCAGGATTGAAGGGACAGAAGAAAATACAAAATAAAGAAAATTAAAAAAGCAAAGAACACCTGCTGCAATAACAAATTAAAGTTATTTTTCATGTAAGCGTGTATAATGGTTGATGTGCAGGACTTTACATCAAAAAATTCGAAGACACTGAACATCCGCACAGTATACTTTATAAAACACTCTTCAGTCAACTTCACGCTTATCTCTTGTGTCTGTAAACACTGCCGTGTAGGAACCGCGACATACATCACTCTTCCGAACGAGCCACAAGATGGAGGTGGGTTTTACTGCGTATGCAAATAGAATGTACGCTGTTCCTTCGCAACAGCGGTACAATGACGAGGCCTGAAGTCCATAACACACGGCAGGGTGTAGATCAGGGGGTGACAAAGTATCGGGGGGATAAGACGGCTGTAGGGTGGCAACTAATGGTCCTTGAAATTACATTACGTAAGGTCAAGGGAGCCATTCATGGGACGAAGGGGAAAGTGGCAGGGCGGGGGTGAATATGCCCGCTTGTCCGTATACTCCTCCTTCGCTCTTCAGAATGAGTAGCAAACATTTTCTCTTCCGTGGACATGCACTTCACTCTAGCTGTCGTATTAGAATATGAAACATGTCTTTTTTCTAATGGATCTTTTATTTCATCTGGCATAAAACATTTTAGCCCCGAGCAATTTCGTTAGGTGTGACGAAAACTTTCACACAATTTCAAACAGGCCTATCAATAAGTGTCCTGAGATCATTGTTTTGATATGAAAACCGTAAATGTTCCAAGTACCAAGTGGTTCTAAATAAAACATGCATACTGCTTCTATAGATAAGATTTAACAATTATTTAATCAGGAGGCCTGCTTTGCGGTATCTTTGTCTTCATAACACTTTTGCACACACTTTCAAGTTTCACAAAAAAAAACAATCAGAGCATATCTTGCCATACAGCAAGCATATCTTGTTACAAAATATAAACTGAAATTTTTTTAAAAAAAAAATTAATATCAAGGCTTACACTAAAAAATATATTTATTTTAAAGTTTTATTTTTTTTAAGTTATGTTCAAGCAACGATAACAGAAAGTAATATACAGACCACTAAAATGCACTTATTTAAATAAAACTGTCACCTGATGATGGATGAATTTCGTCGAAACATGTCGTGACTGATATGCTAGATCATACGATATTAACACCTCAATACGACACAGAAATTTAGTCATTAAGAATAAAAATGGCGGAAACCGTGAAGTCATGTCGATGTTGATGGGAGGTTGTAAAGCAAAATGGCAAGACTTCGACTGGCCGGACGGAATCTAGCCGAGGGAAGCCAGCCGGAATGATGAATGGACTTTACCACACATAAAATTCCACTTTAGGTGCCAAGTTCAAGTGTGTCTAGTAGTTCATTATATCGATCTTATACACTCATTCAAGCTATCGATTTTCTTTCCTTCTTCCCTTTAACCATAGATGCACACATCAAACCTATATTCAACTTCCTTCTCCAATCCATCAATTATGATGGATGGATTTTGTTCAGATTGCAATTTCAACAACATGAAATGAGTGGGTGGAAAGTAAATTCTATAAGAAAGATGCAGACATTTAAAAATTTACTTGGAAAATCATTCGATATCGTTAGATATTCTTAACAAGTAACGCATAAATTTCCAATTTTCCCCTTAGATGCAATTTTCTTAATGACAAGCTGTTTTTAAACTCACGCTAAGTTCCTCATTAGCTCCATTTTTGTAATAATTTCCTGCAATATTTATGTTTAATTGTTCTTACATGTTTCATGTATTGGTAAACTATAATGTTTAATTCACACCTACAGCATGTATGCAGTCATATTTGCTCATACAGTAAGAAATTAATTATTATTAATTTCGCATCATATTACAGACAGCAGTCTTACGCATTCACTTAGGTTTCAAATACGACACTGTCCTGCGTGTCGTGTTTTTTAATGATAGATCAGAGATATGTAGGACCTGTGCGGACAAGAGCATTCTTCAGAAAAAGTGAAGGTTCTACGTCACCTTTAACGTCAAAGAAATATGCTGTCTCTAACACAATCTTTAACAGAAAATGTTAAGGAGTCGCGTTATAAAAATATAAAGTTGAATAAACATATACTAATAACATA